TTTGCGAATACGCAAAGCACTCAGAGCCAAAAGCATACATTTTTCCAAAGTAAGGTTTTCTGTTATGAATTATCTCAAAGGCAGACTTGTTCGTATCTTTCCTGATAATAACTAGATTCAACATATCAGTAGCGTAATTAAGAGTCTCCGCCCACAAATTTTTGGGCAGTCCTGATCCCAAGAGAATTGCTCTGGTCAAATTCAGTAAGGTTCTATTTCCCCTTTCAGAGATTCCGTTCTGCTGTGGGGTGTAGTAATTCGAGAATGTCTGAACGATTCCCTTTCCATGAAGAATGTTTCTAACCTTCTGATTAGTGAATTCTGTTCCCTGATCAGTCATCAGTCGTTTGACAGGTTTTCCTGTAGTATTCTCGAACCACTGAACGTAGTGTCAGATGCTGTCAGCTGTTTCATCTTTGGTCTTCAGCAGGTATACCTTACGATACCTTGAGAAGCCTTCGGTCAGCAACAGAAAATACCTTGACCCGCCGAGAGAGTTAACCGAGGTAGAGCACAGATCACCGTAGACTGTTCCAAGCTCGGTGTCTTTTCCCGCCTCGGGGCGTGATCGGTATGAGTTCCTTGTTTGTTTCGCAGCAATGCATGTCTCGCATTGCTCGAAATCGTCGGTGAACTCAATGCCCTCGAGTCTAAGGAGCTGTTTCACTGCAGCCTTGTTCAGATGAGCCAAAAGCTCATGGGCTTTCTTCAGGCTGATTGGCCCCTGATTTTAACGAAACTGTGTCGTTATCTTTGGCTGCATTATGGGTCTCGTTTTCTCCATCTTCATTCGGGCTCAAAATTACCGTCGGGGGGAGTTGCTTCTTCTCTTACGAGTGAACCATCATCGACCCTCTTATGGGGATGTTCTTTTTCTAGGTTCACTACTTCAAAATCGTCTCCAATAGTCGAGTCGCTTTGATTCTCTTCATTGACGAACTCAAAATCTATGGAGTCTTCCTCATTATCAGAAGCGTCATCTCCGATAGTTACGAGACATTGTCCTTGTTTTGAACTCCTCTGCCGCTTATTTTCTATTCCATAGAGACCGTTCTCTTTCTTACCGAGAACTAGGGTTCTGTGACCCTTTATGGTGCATTCGTTCTTTGTCAACAGAACGCTATATCCTTGCTCCGTCAGCTTGCTAACTGACAGTAAATTTTTCCTCATTCGAGGAACATAGAGCACTTGATCAAGTTTCATCGTTTGAGAGTTCTTGCCTGTTCCGACGTTCAGTAGGATTGAGCCACAACCCCGAACCTGCAGGGTGTGATTGCTTCCAACTTGAACTGTGCACAAGTCGGAGTTGTTGTCCAGGCCTGTGAACCAACGTTTGTTGTTAACTACGTGGTGTGTGGCGCCACTATCAATGATGAACTGATCGGACATATCTGGACCTTTGGTCCCGCTTAGGTTTAACACCATTCCGTTTGGGGGTTCTTTCACATTTCGCTGTAGCTACCAGGGCTTCCGCGGCTTCTGTGAGGTTCAGTTGAGGTCTCTGACTATGCATGTTGTGCCTGGTTTGTCCTCTATGGGGTCTGCGAGCATTATTGTTTCTGCGATTTCGACAGTTCCTGCTAATGTGGCCCATTTTTCCACATGAATAGCATTTCACGTTAGATCTCGGTCCTTGTTGCTCATCGGAATCATTTCTACGATTGAATTGGTTTGGACGGTTCCTTCCGCCACGCCTACCGAGATTCATTCTCGCAAAGAGGGCAGTGACATCTCCTCTTCCCCTTGACATATTCAGTCGGTAGGACTCTGCCTTCAACATCTCAACTAGGTTCTCTAGTAACTTCTGGGAGTCCTCCTTTGTTGCCCATGCCATTTTCAGTGAGTTCCACTCACTCGGCAGTGCATCAATCAGTCGGGCACAATTTAACTCATTCGGGAAGACTACTCCCAGGTCTGAGAGTGTGGCGGACGCACTCCCACTGACGCGGGGTTGAACCGTGAGGGTGAAAACAAGATTTGAACTCGTAGAGATCACACGTGGAATGCGCTGCGCGCGGTTGAATTGAGAAACGATTGGAGACTCCGAGTTGATCGGAGCTCTCCTGGAGATGACAACGGAAGGGTTGAACTTCTGAATCTCCACGATATCGATTGGCGATGGTGATATGGGAGTTGGACCCAAAAACACAGGGAAAGATTGTCGAGTCCGCGAGATCGTATCTCCGCGTGCCTCTACGTGACGCTAACTGCTGGATTGGTGGTCGACGATAGCACCCTGAAGATGGCTGCCACGTCGCTGCGACCGGAGATCCTGACAGTATTCTCTGAAGGAGAACCAGCTGATGCCCCTGCCAGCTGATCGATACGGGTCTCTCACACGCGCCACAAAGACAGCTGAGAGTGCTGTCAGTTGGCGCTGCGCCGGGAACGTACCTATGCGCGCCACGCATTCCACGGATATTTATTTAGGTTCAGGACACTCGTCCTTGATTGAACAGAATGATTAAGCGATAATATAACAATATGGGGAGGGTGACAAGTCCCAATCCTGAAATCCGACCTCTCGTGCATGTTGTGTGATGATTGGAAATTTGCTGTCTGTGTGTGTGTGTACGTGTGGCAAGCCCGAGCAATACCGCGATGGAGGCCCCGTCCGTGACAGTCCCCCCCGCGAATTTCGGTCGCGGAAGCCGAACGGAATTCTGTCGGAACAAGCCTGACCCATGCTGCATGGCTGTTGGGGACGAGTTGGTTGTTGAATTTCGCGCCGGTGGCGCGAAGCCTGAAGCGCCACCTAGCGACAGTTTCTGCCCTCCGCGCTGCGCGGTCGCAACATACCACACTCGTCGTAAGTGCTCGAGTGAATCGGACCGTCGCCCCGGAATTTCAACGCACAGTGCCCACCGACGACTTTTGCGTCAGTTAGGAAGAATGGCAGCGATCTCGGGTACCTGAGACACCCGTTTGAGAAAACGCCCGTTGGGCTTGTGGAGCAGCCCCCGCTCGGCGCCGATTTGAAGGGCACGATGTTCTCCCGCCGAGACGTGATTTACGTGGCCCGGTTTCTCTGGTTCGATCTGACGCCCGAGGAACAGGAGCCATTCCGCCGGCTCTCGAAGGCGCTTCTGCATCGGGGCCGGCACGTCTTCGCGCGCTTCCCGCCCCGGCCGGAGCTTCCGCGGCGCCTCCGGTACCGCCCCCCCCAGCTCGCGCAGTGCGCGCCCTACTATCTTCGGCTGTTGCATGACACCGTAACGGGGCAGCCCCATCAAATCACCATACCTCTGGATGAGGAGCCGCGGGCCATCCATTGGCAACCCCCTAGCGACCTCCAGGAGGTAATGGCTGGAGAAGAGGAGCGCCGCGCTGCGCGAGCTCAACCGCGTGCCAGAAGAGGAGTGGCCCGTCCTAGAGCGGCCTCCGCGCCCCCTCCATCCCGCTACCGGGGATGTAATCCCCCTTCCTCGCCGGCAGCCGGCCACGCGCCCCGACAATCCCGCCGCCGGGAACGCGGTACCTCTAGATCGCCGGCAGCCGGCCCCGCGCCCCATCCGCGGGCTCAATGAAGTTTTGCTCAAACTGCGAGCGGAACGCGGAGGCGATCGGCCAGCGCAGCCCTGATGGTGACTACGACGGTTCAGGACCGGGCGACCTTTTTTTCTTTGATTTGGGGAAATAAAAAAAAATTCCTTCTTGCTAATTATTGCTGTTTTCTTTTGGGGCTCGGGAGTTCGGAAGTGGTGAATATATAGGTGATGACATACTGTTTGACTGTTCTCGGAGAGGTCGGCTGGATGCATGATATCAGTGGGACTCGGTCGCCTCTATTGGGTAGAGCTTTCTTATCGGTCGGTCGAAAACTTGACCGGTCGCTGTCTTGATCGTGCAGGATCTCGCTTCCTCTGGTTTCGCGTTACCCTCGAGTGCTATGACCCTGCAGAGAGGCCAGAGGGCCCTGTTGGAATTCGAGTCCTCCAGTAGACATATGTCTCCGACTTTCAACGGCCTGGCCGACAAGGGTTTCCGGTTGTGGGCGCTCCGGAGGTAGCTGAGATGTTCATTGTGAAATCTCTTCCAGAACGAGTTTAAAATTTTCTGTTGATGGACCCATCTCCTGGAGAATATGATTTTATCAGCCTCGATGGGTCTCGGTGGTTTCAAGACGTGCTGGGGAAAGAACGTCTTGCTCTTGTACCCGTAGAGCAAATCCGCCGGACTCAGTGCTTCGATCTGATCGGTCTCTGCGGCGATGGCTGTGATCGGGCGTCTGTTAATCATCGCTTCGATGTTACTCAGAATAACTTCGAGATCGCGGAAATGTGGAACCGCTGATCCGAGGACTTTCCTCAGAGGTCTCTTGACAGATTGAACTTGGCGCTCGTAGAAGCCTCCGAACCACGGAGCATGTGGGGTGATGAATTCCCATTTGAGGAAAGAATCGGCCAGCCATTTTTTGATGTCTCCGTTCACGATGTGGCTGTATAGGGTTTTTAATTCTTTCGCTGCTCTCTGGAATGAGAGCCCATTATCTGAGGTGATTGTGTTGACCGACGGGTAGCGATTGACGAACTTCTGCAAGGCTCCCAATACCTCGACTGTCGACATATCCGCGGTCAATTGGAGGTTCACGGCTCTCGCCACCGCGCATGTGAATAGGAGGATATAGCCTTTGGCTTTTTCCCCTGAATCTTCCTTATATTTGATCGGACCTGCGAAATCGCATCCTGTATAGAAGAAGGGTGGTGTGGTTTCCAATCGGAACGATGGTAATTGGGCTGTTGGCAGGGATGCTGCCTGGCAGCGGAAAATCTTGCAGATCATGCATGCGGAAATCACTTGTCTTGAGAGTTTTCTCGCATGCAAAATCAGGAAATCCTCCCTCAGAATGTGGAGGGTCGCCGAGACTCCGCCAAAATGCAGGCATTTCCTCTCGTGGATATAACGGATAATTAGTTTCGAGAAGTTGCAGTTTGAGGGTAAAATGATGGGATTTTTCTGGGCTTCCGAAAATTCAGGCGAGCGTTGTAGCCGGGTTTTCGGACGTAAGATTCCTTCTTCATCTATAAATGGGTTATATTGGAAGGGTAGGCTTTTGGGTCTGACCCGCTCGCAGTTCGAATCGATTTCCTCTGGGAAATAAGATTTCTGAATGAGTTTGATTAGTTCCAGCCTGGCTGTGTTCATTTCGTCTGGATCAATCAAGTTCAGTTCTGTCTTCGGCCTGGCACTGCATTTTGTTCTCGATCGAACTCTCGACTTCGCCACTTGGGCTTTTGCCTTGAGTCGGAGCATAAATCCCCAAAAGCGTATCGCCTTGAGCCAACACGAGAAGCTGTCCTCGAAGAATATTTTCGGATCGTCTTTCGTGCTTTTCGAATGTGCGACGAGCAATGCAGTTACGCTTTTCTTTTGCTCGTATTGAATTTCGGAATAACTGTCGAGCGGCGCACGTCCGAGAGGCGCGCGCTCGAGTTTCAGATGTGCTTCCAAATCAGTGTCATCCAAACTTAGCCACTGTAGCCCATGAAACCACAGGTTAGATGTTGAATATTTGGATATGTCGATATTTTATCTGCCGGATTATCCTCCGAACGGACGTAATGTCAGTTCGCGTCGATGGTCAACTCGTGGATTCTTCTGATTCTATTAGCCACGAAAGGTTTCCATTTATCTGGGTTCGACGCGATCCAACCAAGGACTGCTGAGTTGTCACAAAACATGTGTACTGCGTCGATTCTGAAATCTATCCACTCGAACGTTTTCTTCGTCATCCTGGCTGCCAAGAGGGCTCCTAGAAGTTCCAACCGATGGATGGTCGTAGCTTTGATTGGGGCAACTTTAAATTTCGCGAGGAGGAATGAAATTTGTGGGGTGTTCGCGGGTCGATGTGTTTTGAGGTAGGCTACCATCCCGTATGCGTGAAGGCTAGCGTCGGAAATACGAACAATTCCCTCTTGTTCGGGACCTGTCCCGCTAGATTTAGTTGCCGGGCGATGCTCAATTGTCCAGCCTGACTGAGGAGTTTTTCGAATGCGTGAAATCGGTTCAGGTAGTCGCCTTGTAGGGGATCGTCCCATCCGATCTTTTCTTTCCATAGATCTTGGAAGATAATTTTTGAGTTGATGACGATTGGGCTGATGATGCCCAAAGGATCGAAAACTTGGGCTAATGCTCTGAGCAATTTCCGCTTTGTCGGCGTCCCCGTAGTGAGTTCTTTGATTGCTTTCGAAATCGGCGCTGACAGGCTGTCCGAAACTTGATATCCAGGGTACGCCTAGAATTTTAGCGTCGGCCTGGCCGGATGTTAGAGAGAGGTTCTTAAGTAAGGTGATGCTTGACGGATGGTTCTCTCCAGTTCTGGGGAATTTGTGGACCACTTGTCCAACGGGAAGTGGCCTTCCGTGAAGATATTTGAGAGGAGGCGAACTCGATGTTTTGCCTCGCAGATGGAGTCCCTCCTCCGATGACATCGTCCACATAGAACGTGCCGCGGATCTCTTCGATGAAGGAGGTGTCTCGCGGATATTTCTCCATTGCTGATTCCAAGCGGAGTCTGATTCCCTGACAATGCAGAAACGGTGAGCAGATGAGCCCGAAGTCCAGGCGGGTAGCCCAGAATTCTTTGATCTTGGCTGAACCGTTGTTGCTAATGTCGAGGGGCCATAAGTGTGACGAACAGCCCCACGGGGGCAGCTTGCGCAACATGGGGAAAAGACATACAGATGTTAACGGCCGGCGATAGTTGTGCTAATGTTTTGGTTCGGTCGGTCAAACCGCCTTGTCTCTACACTTCAGGCTTACTACTACTAGAGCTACTTGATTAATGCTTTAGGAATAGCAGAGTTAAATCAAAGGATATTGTTATTATTTACCATTGTCATTATCAGTTGTAAGGAGACCGAAAGCTCGGGCGATAGTAATGTCGGCGATAGTATTCGGAAAGAATCGCCGGGCACTGCGCATGCGCCGTCTGTCCGACAGCCGCTCACGGAGACGCCGCGCGGTGCACGACGGTAGAGGGCAAAGACAGCCACTACCGGTTGTAGACACGGACACGATCTATGACGTGATCTAACATGCCCTCGGGGTGGCAAGCCGTATCAGATTTCAAGTAATCATCAATTCTGACGGGAGCATCCATCTTAGAATTATCTCTCTCTCGAAAAATATTCATTCAGCCCGGTGATCACGCTCACAGGGTTATCTCTTCAATAGTACTTCTCGGATCCCGGAATTCACGTATTTCGGGGTTCAGACGAACCTAATCGAGAACAACAGCCATCATTGCGAATAAATCAGTGCGTATCGCTCTCGGAGACTCCCCGATTCGAGAAATCACCAGTGTCTTCAGTGATCGAGAGTTTCTTCGTTAGTCGTATACCACAATAAGAAACGCAGGAAGGTTTTGTCGCTCTCGGCAATTCTGAATTGCAGGAACGCTTTTTCGATGTCTGCCGTGAAGACGAATTTGTACTGTCGGAATTTGAATAGGACTTTCGAAATCTCGGGCAGAAGGTTCATGCCGCAATGAAGTACGTCGTTGAGGCCGGCCTCGTTCGAGCGCCTGGCGCTTGCGTCCTTCACGACGCGCGTCTACAATCCTGAAGGGGCGTCTGGCTTCGCCTTGAAGACTGCCTGAATCGGCAAGTAGTGAGCCGGTTGACCGACTTGCTTCGGTTGTGCTTCCTCAGCAAACCCAGCTGCTAGATATCCTTTGATTTCGTCATCGACTGCCTTCAATTTCGTCGGGTCTTTTTTGAGTTTCTCGATGGAGGAGTGTAGTCTGGATCTCGAGAGATTTTGGTTATCCCCTGAGGCTCGAATGTTCGACTTGAAGGGGAGCCGTAGTAAGTAACGACCCTCGAAGTCCCGGACGCTTGTCTTCCGAAAATGCTCGACGAGGGCCAGACTGAGATTGTCTTCTTCCTGTTTGTCTTCGAGCTTGAGGTCGTCGTCGAAGCCGACGTACTCTGACTGCCACATGAATCGAAGGTCTCTGAATGTTTGAGCTGCCTTGTCCTTTGCGTTTGTCGTTTTCGCTGAGATTATTTCAGGGGCAAGGAGCTGCCCCGCCAAGTTGGACGTCAAACTTTAGGCCGGTTCGATCGTGTCGAATCCGCAGAAACGAGATAGAGGTGATTCGATGTGTTTGGCTCCCTGGGAGCCCCCGAACACCAACCGAAGATCGAGTTGAAAGCGAAGGTATCGTTGAATGAGTTCGGGCTTGAGAAATCTCTTCTTGAGAAGTAGTCCTGGCCTAGGAGGATGTCGACGAACTTTTCCCCGTTGCTGGGTAAGCTGTCCGCTGCCGGCGAGAACTTCTGTGATGGCTCTATGATTGGGAACTCTGATCTTGAGACGCAGTCGAGTTCGATAGCTCTGAGCGTTACACTTTTGTTGGGATCGTGCCTGCTCCTCAAGACTACTCATGGATTCCGCAATTATGGGTGTCCAGGACCAGGCCTCCCGCTGTCGCCATTGTGAGATCCGTGTGAGCAAGGGGTTCCGACGCTAGTTTCCCGACCAAGGCTTTCGTGATGTGAGTGGCCTGCGATCCTGGATCGATGAGCATGCGGCAGAGAACTCTGGAACGGCCCGCTTCCGCCCAAGCCGTAGGCGATTGGAGGTTGGGATCGAGGTTTTGAGTGTTCTTCCCATGGATATCTGGCGCGGGAAGAACCTGTCCGCGAGCGGAGTCGTTCGCAAGGTCAAAAGAGCTTCCACGACGTCAGCTCCAGACATCTGAGCTTTGGTGATTGTGCTTTTCATAGTTTGTATGTGTCTTTCGACCATACCGATCGCCTGAGAATGACCAGGGGATATTGGTTGTCGCTTGATGTCCCATTCTTTGAGTTGATCTTTGAAGAATTTAATATCCACTCATCGATACTTCGGCTAGCAAACACACTGGGTAACTGGCGAACGTTCCCCCTGATGGGGATTCTTTATTCCATCCTTATATAGTGTTCCAGTGAAAAGGGTTACATTGTAACAACTGCTCAGGGTTAGCTAATTGTTCAGATACTGAGGGTTACAGAAGAACACTGACAATGAAGCGTGCGGAAGGGTTGAGAAAATACCCAGGGACGTTCCACTCTGGTGAATTCACTAATTCAAGCCACAGGGATTTCCGGGCGCATACTAGACTGAAAACTCAATATATTTCATCATTCCCCCTACGCACGGAAATCCCGAAATCTGGAATAAACTTTAATCCTTAAATTGGTGAGC